ACACACAAGCTAGGAGTGACTGCAGCAGTTTGCTTTTGCCGGAGCCTCCTGGGAAGGGCCCTGCTGAGTTAATTGAGTGCAGACTACTTTTACACTTTGAACTCAGTTTGGAGCAATTGAAGTAAGAAGAGGATAAAGGGGGAAAGTGGGAGGAGGAGAAAGAAACTGGGGCATTTTAAAAGCAGCTGAAAAAGTGGGACAAGAGAATTAATTGGGACTATTCCTGCCAAATCAGGACAGTTAAAAGATATGCCAGACAGGGCAGGCTCCAAAGCAGGTGTGAGGAACCTTTGACGCGCCAGCTGTCTGGGGACTACAATGCACAGGATCCTCACCTTCCTTCTCGAAAGGGTAAAGGGCTGTGAACGTTGTACACTGGGCCTTTGGTATCCACTGGGGTTTGGTTCCAGGCCCTCCCGTGGATACCAAAATTTGTGGATGCTCAATCCCATTAAATATCATGGTTTAATAAAATGGTGTCCCTTATAAAAAATGGCAAAATCAAGGTTTGCTTTCTGGAATGTATATATTTATATATGATTCTACACATTCAAGCATCCACATTTTTAAATATTTTAAAAAATATTTTCAATCCATGGATGCATGAATGTGTAGAATCACAGAATAATAGAGCTGGAAGAAACCTCAAGGGCCATCCAGTCCAACCCCCTGCCATGCAGGAACACAGAATCAAAGCACCCCCAACAGATAACCATCCAGCCTCTGTTTAAAAACCTCCAAAGAAGGAGACTCCACCACTCTCCGAGGGAGTGTCTTCCACTGTCAAACAGTTCTTACCATCAGGAAGTTCTTCCTAATGTTGAGGTGGAATCTCTTTTCCTTTAGCTTGAATCTATTGTTCTGAGTCCTAGTTTCTGAAGTGGCAGTGAACAGGTTTGATCCATGCTCAATATGACATCCCTTCAGATATTTAAACAGGCCTATCATATCACCTCTTAGCCTGCTCTTCTCCAGACTAAACATACCCAGCTCCCTAAGTCACTCCTCATAGGGTATCTGTGGATCTGGAGGGCTGATGGTAGTGCAGAACATCTTGATGACCAGATATACTCTGATGAGTTTGAGTAAGTTCAAAGTCTACCCAAGTGTCACTTTGGTTTTCCTTGAAGCACTTAAGAAACCCAAGTCAGTGTGAGAGATAAATTTTGCTGGGGCATCCCACTGGTTCCATTAAGTTCCAGAGACACTGAGCTTCCCTCCGCTCAAATCCCAGGACCGGCCCTGCTGAGTTGCAACACATATTTACTTTTCCTCAGTGATATTGTGGTCCAGTGGGAGGAGAACAGAGAGAAGGACCAGAAGAGAAAAGGAGGGAGCAACTACTGTCGCTACCTCATCCTCTGCACAATTGGTATAAATTAAGGGAAACGCTTGCTCTCCAGATTGCAACCTGGCAACTCTAGACTCAGGAGCATCTATGGACAAAACTACATGTTGCATCAAGTACAAAGATACAGCCTCTTGAAATACTGAGGAACCAGAAGTTTGCCCTATTCATAACTTGTCCTTTCAAGACTTTTATCTGACTCTTCACTTAAAAACAAACTTAATTGGTTAAAGAGGTGCTCTCAGTTAAACTGATGAATCTTAATAAAGGACATGCAAAAACTGTAGATATCAAACAGTGCTGTAAAAGAGGCATTCTCTCGTCTCTCCACACACAGCAAGAGGAATGCCTCTTCCAAGTTTGTACCTGCCACAACATGCCTAAAAGCAAAGAAAGAAGGATGCTTGCTTCTGAGATATTGCTTTATCAACATCAACTTTATCCATCAGATTTAATTGATAGATTCATTGAGGGGCAGCAGAAATGCATTGTCTACTCAGAAGCAAGTCCCACTGAGCCTTACTTCCAGATATAGCACCTTCCCTGGCCTTGTGCCATTCACATATATTAGACTATAACTTTCATCATCCCCGGCCAGTGCAGACATGGGTCAGCTTGGGGAAAGCTGTTCTATAGGTCTAAAACTCATATGATCAATTAATTAGTTTCTTTAGATTGCAACTCAAGCTTATCGCTGAACATGCAGAATTTGGAAATTAAAAAGGCAGCTGTCATTTGGAGTCGAACAGAAATATCATACAATGGTCCCTCGGTATCTGCTTGAGGTTTGCTTTCAGGATCCTCCATGAATATCAAAATCTGTGGATGCTCAAGTCCCATTAAATACAACAGTGTAGTAAAAATGGTGTCCCTTATATAAAATTGCAAAATCAAGCTTTGCTTTTTGGAATGTGTGTGTATATATATATATATATAGAGAGAGAGAGAGAGAGAATATTTTCAAGCCATGTATGTTTGAATCATAGATAAGAAATCTGTGGATAGGGAGGGCCAACTGTACATTCAAAAACAAACAGCTTCTAAACTAACAGCTCCGTTAGACCTTCCAAATGGGTTAGGTCTGAGCAACAATGCTACTCCTCACTTTGTCAGAACGATACCCAAACCCACCAAAATGTGAAGAGGATTTCAGAAGGGAGAAGGGGAGGATAAAATAACAGGAAAGAATGAAAGAACAAATTCTGGAGGGTTCTTACATAACTGCAGTGCTGTGGTTGCCACTTCTGTGGAGTCACTTCCTAAATTACTGTGAGGTTTAGGCAGGGAAAATCACATGGCAGGAACAGATAAATGAATGGTGAAGGGCACTCAGTGGCCAAAGGGCTGCATACTACCCTTAGCCTAATTTTAAAAGGCTTCTAAAAGTGATCCCCTTCCATCTTGGGCAAGAACAGTCTGTCTTCTGACAGTTTGCTGGACAGGTAGGGATATAGGGAGAGTAAAGGGGTGATCAAAGGGGGTGTCAGAATGAGAAGAGGGGACCCCACCTACCACTATGTATTGCTGTTATGCGACCCTCAGCAGTTCTCAAAAGAAAAAGGATTGCCCATCAGGGCATCAAAAAGTTCCCTCACCCAATGGCCATACTGGCTGGCAGGTTCTGTGAGTCCAGAAAGAAAGAAAGAAAGAAAGAAAGAAAAAGAAAAGATTTTTCTAAACTCTTTTTTCATGACAGCTTTCTCCCTTCCTTGGGCAAGTGGGCCAGAGCAATAAATCAATCATTAAAAAATTAAAAATGATCCAACACCTTACACCTATTGCTTTCTTCATTCCTGCATACGGCGCGCACTCACACAGAAATAACAACCATATGGCTAAAGTAAAAATGCTTTTGAAGATGATTTGGGGAGAGCAGAGAATTTTTATTAATCCAGAACATTGTCATTTTCCTGGGGGGGGGGGAATATATGCAAAGAGTGGACTAGGAGATGTTTCCAGCCAATAAAAAAGAGCTGGACAACAACAGCAGCAACAACAACAACAATCTTGGCAAGAAGTCTGAAATACAGACTCAGTTTGCAGGATTCCAAGTTTGCATTACATGCCCCTAGATGGCATGTAATACATTTTCTAATTGGAATTAGTAATTGATAAACAGATTTAATGAGTTCCCAATGCTTGTTTGGAATATAACTGTATGCCATTAACCAGGTTACTGGAGTCATTGCTTTGCTCCATATGCACTGACATTATTTAACTGCTTATTCTTAATGAAAGTGATTTGCTTCAACAGGAGCTTGGACTGAATGAGCTTTGAATTCCCTTCTAACTCTAAGGCCTCTTTCACATAACACAATTATAGCACTGGATTCCCCTTTTGCTGCCATGGCAATATCCTGCATGAAATCCTGGAATTTGTAGTTTGGGGAGGTACTAGAGGAGTTCTCTGGCTGAGAATTCTAACTCTTCCTAAATTGCAAATCTCAGGAATCTTTCTGCTAAAATGGTGTAGTGTGAAAAGGACTTTCTGTGGTTCTATGAAATTTGTGTTGACAGCCATCAACTAGTTAACTAGACTATCTAAGCAAGAACTTTCTTACTAGATATCTGTCTTCTTATTTAGATAGATTTTCATTAATTTAAGAAATGAAATCATTTTACTGGATGTAACAAATCAACGAATCCAGGATTAAACTGTTCCTTCTTTGGAGCATTGGGGAATTTTGAATTTGAATTTTCCATCGGTGCCATGGGTACAAGGCAGATGAAATCAAACTACAGATTTGCCAGAGGATACTGGGCAGGCAACAGGATAACATTGACATGGAGGCAATAACATTACAAGTTAAGAGAGAAAAAACAGACTCACTTTCCAAGAAAGATAATAAGTACTGATCCAATTCTAAATCAAAGAAAAGCACACCCACCGCTAGTTCTTATCAATTCTGTAATATTTTTTTTCCTTCCACAAAGTTATGCTAAATATTCTCCACTTTTGGGTTTTGGGTTGCAACTGATGGTTTCAGTGTAATGACATTTTCTCTTTAAAAATCTTTGTGCTACTATTTCCCTTTTTAAAAAAATAAAAATAAAATATTGTCTGGTATTATTATTTCCCCTGGCCATTATTTCCTCCTGCTTCCTGGATTAGTCACATGGCATCTAATCAGACCTACGGTAATTGAATGGGAAGATGTTATGATGATGCCTCAATCAAATTTGTCTGTAAATTGATCATACAGAAGGCAAATGAGGGCAGTAGAATGAAGGCAAATGAGGGGAGTTTTACAAAATGAACATTTTGAAAAGCAGTGATGAAAAAATAATTTAAAGGGAGGGCTGCATTTTTGGTTGCTGAAAAGTATCACTAAATAGCAGTGGCTAGTTTGTCTGATCCATCATTATAGTCTCTGCATACTCATTTAATCCTATGATCCTGGAAGTAGGTGACTTTTCAGAGCAGGGGAAAGAACCTCTCTCTCCACCACCTTTGTTGGTCAAAGTATGAACGTGTTAGAATAGCTCTGTGTGTGCATGTTGTGTCATTTCAAATCATTTCCGATTTATGGCAGCCCTAAGGCGAACCTGTCATGGGGGTTTCTTGGCAAGATTTGTACAGAGGAGGTTTGCCATTGCCTTATCCTGAAGCTGAGAGCATATGACTTGCCTAGGGTCACCCAGTGGGTTTCATGGCCAAACTGGGAATCGAACCCTGGTCTCCAGTGTCATAGTCCAACACTCAAACCAGTATGTCATGCTGGCTCTCAGAATAGCTAGGACGTTATCACACGTAGGCCAGAAAGTGATAATAAAGTGGAAATG